GACCTGGTGGACTACCTGCACAGGAACAAGCACACGTTCCTGCAGTACTATGCTGAGAAAAACCAGGACTACAGCTGTCTCATCTCCAGAGGAAGCACCCCTCTCAGCCAGAGGAAAGGGTGAGCGAAGCAAACTGGAGCTTTCAGAGCTGCACAAAGGGCCTTTTTGTATGATGTGGGAGGTTGTTTTTATTAAAACCTCCTCTGATGTACTTTGAAACATTTACTCATAAATAGGTAAATATACTTTATTGATTCCTAAGGGGATATTTTTCTGTTGTAAAGTTTCAGATGATGAAGGAGCATAAATAAACAAATATGCCTTTAAGGTCAGTTTAGTGCACTTTCTCAGACACAATAAATATATATATATATATATATCTCCATCCCTCCAGCTATGTGTCTTTCGGAAGTGAGAGTGATGGAGGATACATGGACATGAGCAAAGATGAGCCCTCAGTCTACGTTCCCATGCAAGAGCAGATAGATTCCATCAAATATGCAGATATCCAGCCTTCTCCGTACGAGGCTCTCTACCAACACGGCTTCTACCAGGAACAAGGTTTGATTTGAGCCAGTTTACCACTGTTTTAAAATCACTTTAACCATGATGGATGATGAACTCTGCCACTATAAGCTGTACTTCTGGTTGAAAAGCACAGTGCTTTACATATAATAGACTAATGAATACTTGTTTTCTTAACTGATCAAATGCTGGAGATAATGTACAGACAAATGTGGCAACATATAAAGAGCCTGATCTCTTTTTACCCGGGCAGTCACAGGACAGCCAGAGTTCCCCCATCACAAAAGACAATGTCTTCATTCATGTTCATCACCTTCCTTTTTTTTCTCCTGATGATCCTTTCACCTTGTCACTGTGTTCAGGAGTCAACAGATTAGACCTGGTGATCAGCGACTCTCCCAGTCTCACCTACGAAGATCTTTTAGGATTCAGCTACCAAGTGGCAAAGGGGATGGAGTTCCTTGCCTCTAAGAACGTATGATATTTTATAAAATACTCATCTCAACCTTCTAGATAACTGACATTTTGCCCATTTAAACAAATATAAAATTAGAAAATTAGTCTTAATTTTCTGATTATGTAGAGAAGAATTGGAAGCTTAGTTTAGCGTAAAAAAAAAATTTAAAAAGAGAAAAGAAACTGGAGAAAGCAGGTAGCCTGACTGTGTCAAAAGAAGACAGAAGAAATAGAGATTGGCTAATCAGCATCCAAATTTGCAACGATATGTAAAAGCAAAAATAGTGCTTATGTGGCAACCTCGTGATGATTACAACAGGTATATTCGTTTTGCTCCTCCGCAGTGTGTCCATCGTGACCTGGCTGCCAGGAACGTCCTGATCTGTGAGGGCAAGCTGGTGAAGATTTGTGATTTCGGCCTGGCCAGAGACATCATGCATGACTCCAACTACATCTCTAAAGGCAACGTAAGTATAAAAAAAAAAAACAGTGGTTTATGGAAAAACTTAGGGAAAGTTATTCTATTCTGTTCTGACAATTTTTCACCTGTTTTGGCTTTTTATCTGCGTATAACAGAAATTTAATAGCAGCAAATAAATTCTAGCTGGACTCTTTTAGCCCTCCTGACTGTTGCATGTTTCAAATTAGGAACAGTGGTTCTTTAATAAGATGTGTTTCTTCTTTTATTCAGACTTTCCTTCCCTTGAAGTGGATGGCACCTGAAAGCATTTTCCATAATTTGTATACCACCCTAAGCGATGTGTGGTCATATGGCATTCTTCTTTGGGAGATTTTCACACTGGGTCAGTTCAGGCTCACTCACATCAACACACAAAAAGCTTTTAGTCCTACTACTGAAGTGCTGTATTCATATTGTACAAGAGAATCACCTTATTTGTAAGTGGTAATGTAGGACGCTTTGTTCCAATGTTCCCTCTAATTTTTCATGTGTCTGAGCG